CTTTGTTGCATGTTTTTGTTCTTGAAACTCCTCTCTGTTGTAAAGTTAAACAAACACTAAAGGACAAAGTGTAAAGCAGTAAATGTTCTGCCTGTGATTCATATCTGTGTTGTTGTAGCATTAAGAGACCAAAAAATGAGCTTTTTTTATTCACTATATATTTTTTAAATTAATCGGCCGATTAATCGGTTATCAGAATTTTTTTTTTGCCATAAATCAGAATCAGCATCGGCTTCAAAAAACCCGTATGGGTCGGGCCCTAATGAGAACATCTGGTCTTATCGTAGGGATGCTGATCCTGCAGCATTGTTGAGAAAAGGTCTGAGGGCTGTACTCGGAAGCAAAGTAAAAGAGTTACTGAGGCATGAGGACCCTGAAGCAACAGTTTAGTGTGACAGAGGCAGCTCTCTTCTTACCTGGCTGCATCACCATGGTAACTAATCCTGCTAAGGTAAACTGGTCCGAAAGTTAAGCTCTGAGTTCCGGCTTTAAATCAGCTGCTGGAAGCATCCCCGTGATCTGTTTTATGAGTAACAGAGGTTCTGCAGACCTGTTGAGCTGTACTTTAGTAATCCACTGAAAGCAGCTGTGCCGTTACAACATGGCCCACTGTGGGCGTTGTCATGGGAACCCCACATGTAGTCAGTTGGTGATGCAGAAAGTAAATAAATATGGTATACATTTGGTCCTGATGTGCTGCTGGTGCTGCACCCACCAGAACACAGATAGAACATGTGGTATTCTACTGGCTTTTATTACAAAGAATCAGTGTCATTCATTTGACTCGACTTGGCCAAAAGCTAAAGTGATGTCCACATGCCCTTCATTATGGCCAGGTGTCAGAACTGAACACAATTCTTTCATGTATGAAGTTTAAAGTGTAGTAGCTGTGAAGTGCAGCTGTCCCAGTAGAACGCAGTAGCTGCATTTATTGCTGCAGGTGTGTTTTTTGCCATCATTAACTTTTATTCCTCGTAGCTCTCCATTATAACCTCCTGGTCCTCTGACTGAAGTAGGTGGCACTCTATTGGTCTGTTTCACGCAGAAGAAGAGTCACAGGGTCACCTTATTTGTTCTGATGTCTGAAGAAGAAAGCCTGACTGAACAATCGTCACCGTCATGATGCCCGTTTTCGCCGACTGTTTCTCTAGGTTTCGTTGATCGTGCTTCCATAAACCTTAGGTATGACAAACTGGCTTTGTGTTATTGCCCTCTGGTTGTCCTACAATGTCTACTCATTTTCCATGTAAACGCCCACAAATCAAAGCTGAAAGTCAGGACTCTACCCTCATAACCAACATTTCATTTCAAATCAGAAGTACAGAAACATCAAACATGTGTTCCAGCCCTCATACTGCAGGGGTTATAGAATAGGTGGAAGCATAAATAGAAGTAAAACATTTCTGTTCCTGCTCCTTTTGTGAAGGTAAAGTAAATGTTTGTGTATTTATCCTGATGAGGTGGTTAGAAACAACGCTGCGGTATCATGACCATGTTGCTTAACAGAAATTGAACTACTCGTAGGTTAGGGTTATTTCTCAGTTCTCTGTGTCATCGTCTCTGCAGATGGTTCAGACTGGCAACATACAGACGTGGAGGACCAGAAGAGCAGCAAAAGCCCATCTAGAGTAGACAAACATGCAGACACTTTGCTACCAGGCAAAAACCAAGAACTTGGGCAAAGGAATCCTGGGAAGCCTGCGCTGATGCCCAAAGGCCACGCCAAGCCGCCCGCCTCCATCATCAAGGACATGGTGCTTCAGCAGGTAGGGACACTTGGGAAGAGGTTGGGATGAACATTTTATAGATTTTCTTGTAGAAACAATTGTAGGGAGTATACTGTGTGACCCTTCATCCAGAGTGTATCATACATGCTTTGTTCTTCCTCTTGTCCCAGCAGCCAGCCATGATCCAGAGAAGAGGTCAGCTCCTCTGGAGAAATGGTATCAGGCAAATCCACCGTTCTGGTTCTCCTCATATGCTCCTTTTACAGCAGCCTAGCTTGTTACCCGCCAACCTCCACCTCCACACACCCTTCTCCCAGAAGTCTAACACCACAGGGAAGAAAACAAATGGTACCTACCTTCCTATTCTTAACTCCTATCCCCGCATTGCGCCACATCCCAGCAACAAACTGCCTGATAAATCTTCGTCGCACCATGAAACCCAGAATCTGAGCAAGAGGGTGTGCACAGAACACAACAGCGATGACACACCGGTGAGCACAGGTCCACCTGAGCAGCACCTTCATAAACAACCAAAACTGGCAGAGTCACCCTCCGACCTGCCGCGTTCTTCTTCAACCAGAGATCGTCTGTCCTCCTCCAGCCCCACTAATGTTTCTCCATCCATGTCCAGTCTGCAACCCACCTCCTTCCTCTCAGCCAGAGGACTTCATAGAAACGGCAGAACTAGTTCTCGCCACCACCGTTTTCTCAACACAGTAGAAATCCTCAGACATTCAGGTCTGTTGGACATTACATTGCGCACAAAGGAGCTGCTGCACCAAAGCAACAGCACAGAGCAGGACATTGGTCAGCTGCGTCAGCACACAGAGCTACTGTGCCGGGCTGCCAGCAGCCCCAGCCTCAGCCTGAATAATGTCACCACCTGGGAACATGTTTATCAAGTCATGGCTGAGTCTGGCAGCTACCCCAACCTGAAAATCCAGAGGGATTTACTAACCCAATCTTCTCCAGGTTCTGCCACTCAGCCACAGAGTATTTCCACAGAGGACACCAACAGTCCACAAGCTGCTGAGAGCCCAGAGGTGCCCCCGTCCTGCCTTCTTACCACCATACCACACCAGAGCTGTGCTGTATCGCAGCAGTCTCACTCAGACAACGGCAGGAAGTTTGGAGTCAGTGGCACAGCCTCAGACAAAGTCACTGTTATGCCTCCAGACAGTTCTACTGGTTAGCACAGTCTGCAGGGCCTTTAAAAGGCCAGCTGGTCGTCATGACGGCCCTGAAGACACCCAGTAGGTATTTTTGGATATTATGTGTAGTTTAACTTTTCATCCTCGATTGTTTAAACCCAGTGTTATCAGGATTGTGCAAAATACCTGTGCAGGTTGTTGGAAATCCAACAATGACTCAAATGTAGTCAAAACTGTACACGGTACAGTTTAATGTGAAAGTTTGATTCAACATTTAAAAGCTGATGTCTAATTAATTAATGCAATTCCATCTTGAGGCACCATCTTGTACGATCACTACAGACCTGATTGAACCACACACGAGCAGAGGATCTCTGCTTGTGAGTCACTGAAAGCATTATGTTGAAATAACATGCATTTCCTCCAGGAGGTCAGGAACCACAGGCTGCGCTTAATGCAGCGATGACAGCTGCAGTATAGCCAGTACAGTACAGTACTAACCCTAACCTGACCCTACAGCTAGTACAGTACGGTACTAACCCTATCAGTTCAGTTCTGTTCTTGTGCTGCCATGTCAGGCCGACCACATTCAGGGGAACAAAATTATTAAATCCCTTTGCTGGTAAATGTTGAAGAAATGGTTTCTTATCACCTGTATCTACTGAGAGGAAGCCAGCAGTCCAAACATGTGCCTTAAGAACACAACATAGCTGAAGCTATGGGCTCCTGGAGAATCAGCACTGAAAGGACAGTGGTCGCTCATGAGACCGGACTGAAGCTTGATGTTCCAGAGAAACTCTGTAACAGGTCACACTGCACTGCTGCCAGGAGTTCTGTCCAAACAAAGCCTTACAAAGTGTTTTTCTCTTGATTTATTTTGTATTGTCAGGGCTACACAACCATCACTTGCTGTATGAGCCTCATATTGATGATGTTCAATGAAACACACATGATGATTAAAGCTGTTCAGCCACAGACTGTGTGAATTTAACACATCTCCAAAATGATCAGATGTACCAGATTCTGTCCTGCAGCTGCTTGAGGATGTTTTTGAGCTGTTACATGGTTGTTTGTTTGGTTGTGGATGGAGCACACTCTGCATTGAGTTTGACAGTTTGACAGTGTTTAAGTATAGAAGTGTGTTGACTCGGTGGCTTTACGCGTGGGGCATGTTCTTCCTTCTGTTTCTTTGCATATGACTGCCAGCACTGCACACATACCTGGAATTCAAGGGGTTTATATTTGTTTGTATTTTTCATAATTTTAAGCTATTTAAATAAAGCAATATGTGAAAAAAATAGACTTTTTCAATATGGATCTTTCCAAATGTAGTGTGATGTTGTGGTTGTGTTTTTGTACAAAACCTTGAGTTGTGGGAGCTGTTCCCATGGAAACTGAGTCACCGACGGGCTGATGTAAGAGCTACGTATGTGAGCTGGGACCTGCTCCTGAAAGCCATGAAAATAGTTTATATCACACTGTCCACTGGAATTCATGGTGACATAGAAAACTATTTGCACTTTGTGTTTCTCTGAAGAAATAATGAATAGAAAATACACAAAGTCTACGATCACAGAGGTCACTGAAAAGGGTCCCCTGATATACATTGGTATGGCTGTTTTTTTGCTTCATTTTTGATTAAAATATGAATAATGTGGAGAATATAGTGTGACTAAATATGATTTTACATTCTAGTATAACATCATGCCATTTACATGTATTTCTATTCATTTTATTTGTCAAAGCACAGCTCCAGAACAAGTCATTTAAAAAGAAAATACAAATATGAAAATCTTATTTTACTCTCCCTTAAGGCATAAACAACAGAAATCGATAGATGGTCTGAAAATGTCAGACAATTAAACATTACTTGCAAGCAACATTTCTAAAGCAGTTTACCATCAACTAAAGAGAGCTGTACATGAGGAACCCCCTGTTCTCTAAATATTGTTTCTCATTTCTGAGATTTTCCACATTTGAATAAATTTGGAACCTTTGATGTTATTCTCATTTGTTCCACTTCTACAGCACTGAAACACAGACATCTTTTAAAGAAGTTTGCACATACTGATGAACCTTAAAACAAGCTCTAGACATGTCTTGGCATAACGGTGTAACTCAACCACATCCTTCAGTGTTGTCTTGCCAAACTTGACAGTGTTGTTGTGTTCGCTGAAACCCGCCTTATCTAGAATTCCTGCTGCCCTTTTCTGTACACATTGGATTTATTTTGCTCATTGACAGCACTTGTTGCTTTAAACACTAAGTGAACAACACAGAATGTTCGAAGCAAAAAGACTTTTGGACTTTTTGCTTTTACAATTATTACATCAAAAATCGAACTTTGAATTCTCTTTGAATA